ATATATAAATAATATTAAATTAAATATTTACCAATTATTTTCTTATTAATTGTTAGATAATAAGATATCTCTAATAATAGATGAAAGGGTCTCATTTAACCGATAATATTTTATTGTTTGATATATACCACCTAAATTACAAAATTTGAACTTATTTTTTATATCCTTTGATGCACAAGCTGAGAGCTATGACTCAGAGTCACAATTTATGAGGACACAACAGCAGCCACTTATCAGTGTATCTCCCTCAATTCTCAAATCGAAATAGAGTAATTCTTTTTTAAGTTGAATGAAAATTAACTACATCTCAGACTCTCAGACATGATCTCCGTCCGCCCGATCCTTCATCTCTAGATCCCTTATTGGTTTTGTACTATTCTATAAGAGTAATTAAAATATATATAAAAAAGGAAGGAGACAGATTTTCGCATATTTGAACATTAGGCATGTGCCTGGTTCATGGTTTCCTGTAAAGTGCATGTGCAATTGTCATGCATGAAGCTATCAACATGTGTCACCCCCTTTCCATGGAGAATAATATGCAAATACTATAGCAAAATTGTCATATACATATTGAAACTTAATACCTATATGCTCCAAATTTCATAGGTATAGGTCTTCAAAATTAAATTTCAATTGAAAAATGGAAGTAAGTTTGTGATGTAATTTATGTGGCAGATTCACCCCTAAACTTACAAACAATAATAAATCTCTAAAATATATAGAACATTAACATTATTCAACTTTTGGATTATCTAAAGTGGTGTAATGGATTGACTAATGTTTTTCATTTAATTTTAGGAACTACTTTTGTTGAGGTGTAGATTCACCATCAAAATTTTATTAAAAGCTTGTTAGATGAAAATTATTTTGAAAGATTTTTTTTTACTTATGAAGTTGACTATTTGATATTATAAAAATTTAAATTATTGATACTAACTCCAAATCAAGATCTTTATATTAGTCAATACTAATTTAACCAAACTTTTATTGGTTATTTTAATAGACTTATATAAAAGTTATTCACCAAGAATATAATTTCAAATCACTATAATGGCAAATAGTTAATTCATATTATACAAAAAAAATTAATAATTAACAATTAACAAGAGGTCAATTTTTTTTTTTTGAACAAGTACAATTTAGAGGTAGGGAGATGGAGAACTTTTAGCATGGCAGTGCCATAACTTGAATCTTGGTCACTGCCAAGACATTGGATATACTTGACAACTGACCTATAAAACTTGGTACAATAAGAGCTTGATTGAATCACTACTTGTTACAATATTTTATATATATTAAGAAGCATGTTAGCCAAAAGTATGGTTTGCTTTGCACAAATTTAAACATATATGCAATGCACAATTTTAGAAGTTTAGTAGTAATCTCTCTTCTAAGAAAAATAAAAGATCTTGGATTTGAACCATATAATATAATTGGAGTGAGTTAAGAAATGACTAAATTCAATAAATAGTTTATTAACTATATGATTTATTTCAGTTTAGTTTAGAAACAAATTTTTTTAAATCATCTATAAACTATTAATTTTGTTTTAAAATAGTCTATTTGACAAACATTCCGTTAACTAGACTAACGGAAT